GAGGTGGTCAGTCCCTCAGTCTGGAGAAGAGCATTGTTCCATAGTATGAAACAATATGGAGAAGAAGTGACAGGATGGAGCTTTTTATAGCGCCAAGAGGTGAGACGTAGGCCACTAGGAGAGGTAAGAACTCAGATGTTGAGAGGTCAGTTCCCTCTCAAATCCAGCCCCTCTCACTAGTGGAAGTTGTCGAAGTTGATTGCAGGTCTGTACCAAGATACCCTTGTGTTGCAGTGTCTGACAGATTGAACATTAAAATGGTATAAAATACCGACAGGTTGTTAGGTAAGACACATATGCAACAGTTAGGTATCTTTATTATGAAACGTTTCGCCTACACAGTAGGCTTCTTCAGTCAAGTACAGAAAAGTTGATAGAAGCAGAAGATACTTGAAGACGATGTAATCAGTCCCTCACCCTTAAAGTTTTGAGGTGGTCAGTCCCTCAGTCTGGAGAAGAGCATTGTTCCATAGTTTCATACTATGGAACAATGCTCTTCTCCAGACTGAGGGACTGACCACCTCAAAACTTTAAGGGTGAGGGACTGATTACATCGTCTTCAAGTATCTTCTGCTTCTATCAACTTTTCTGTACTTGACTGAAGAAGCCTACTGTGTAGGCGAAACGTTTCATAATAAAGATACCTAACTGTTGCATATGTGTCTTACCTAACAACCTGTCGGTATTTTATACCATTTTAATGTTCACTTTACATAATGTCGGTAATTCTACCAACATTATTACAAGTCTGATATTGTAGTACACCACTAAGTCTGATATTTGTAGACAGTAATTTGCCGAAATGCTCAGCATAACAAGGGTGCTTTATATATAGGCCTGTATACCATATACATGTACTTGTAGTAAATAAAGATACGTAGATACGTATATTATTATACAGTAAGTCTACCCACTTGTTCCACATATTTCCCACTAGAGAGAGTTACTGGCTGGCCTAGTTTCTAAAGTTGCCACCAGGTGTCAGATACCGAAGTAGACTACGCTGCCTTCCACTTGTCCCTGCCTACACCCGACCTTCCACTTGTCCCTGCCTACACCCGACCTTCCACTTGTCCCTGCCTACACCCGACCTTCCACTTGTCCCTGCCTACACCCGACCTTCCACTTGTCCCTGCCTACACCTGACCTTCCACTTGTCCCTGCCTACACCCGACCTTCCACTTGTCCCTGCCTACACCCGACCTTCCACTTGTCCCTGCCTACACCCGACCTTCCACTTGTCCCTGCCTACACCCGACCTTCCACTTGTCCCTGCCTACACCCGACCTTCCACTTGTCCCTGCCTACACCCGACCTTCCACTTGTCCCTGCCTACACCCGACCTTCCACTTGTCCCTGCCTACACCCGACCTTCCACTTGTCCCTGCCTACACCCGACCTTCCACTTGTCCTTGCCTACACCCGACCTTCCACTTGTCCCTGCCTACACCCGACCTTCCACTTGTCCCTGCCTACACCCGACCTTCCACTTGTCCCTGCCTACACCCGACCTTCCACTTGTCCTTGCCTACACCCGACCTTCCACTTGTCCCTGCCTACACCCGACCTTCCACTTGTCCCTGCCTACACCCGACCTTCCACTTGTCCCTGCCTACACCCGACCTTCCACTTGTCCCTGCCTACACCCGACCTTCCACTTGTCCCTGCCTACACCCGACCTTCCACTTGTCCCTGCCTACACCCGACCTTCCACTTGTCCCTGCCTACACCCGACCTTCCACGTGTTCCTGCCTACACCCGACCTTCCACTTGTTCCTACCTACACCCGACCTTCCACTTGTTCCTACCTACACCCGACCTTCCACTTGTTCCTACCTACACTCGACCTTCAGTCAACACCTCCCCCCCGGACTGGCTCTGGCGACTCTGTTTCGCCTTTGTACTCTTTCGAATAAATGGAGCTAGTTTTTAGCCGTTTGTCTTCAACCGTTTGTCTTCAACTTCCAAGCTACCCGGCTAGTTACTAGACCAGGCCTCGTGGTGGATCAGGGCCTGATCAATCAAGCTGTTGCTGTTGGCTGCACATAGTCCAACGTACGAACCACAACCCGGCTGGTCAGGTACTGACTTTAGGTGCCTGTCAAGCACCCTCCTGAAGACAGCCAGGGATCTATTGGTAAACCCCCTTATGTGTGCTGGGAGGCAGGTGAACAGTCTTGGGTCCCTGACACTAGTTGCGTTGTCTCTTAGCGTACTCGTGGCTCCCCCAATTTTCATTGGGGGGGGGGGATGTTGCATCTTCTGCCGAGTCTTTTGCTTTCGTAGGGAGTGATTTTCGTGTGCAGATTTAGGACTGGTCCCTCTAGGATTTTCCAAATACAGTCGACCCTCAACTAACGGCGGCATTAAGTAACGGCAATTTCGTCTTACGGCGCATTTTGCCGTAGAAAAAATGCCTTAACCAACGGCGAAAAACTTAACCAACGATGTTTGTCCACCACTCCAAGAGTCAGTGGGGGATTCTCTTTCCAAGCAATAGACAGTCCTGAATCTCCCCTGCTGCTGGCACATCACTCATCAACAACTCCACAATAAAGGTAAGTGGCATTTAATTATTGTTTATTTTGCATGTCCCTTCGCGCTGTATAGCCCTTGTGGCTTAGCGCTTCTTTTTGATTATAATAATAATAATAATAATTTGCATGTCCCATTCCTTTCCATATAAGGAAATGTATATTTCATGTAAATTTTTTTTTTCAGACTTGGGGGTGTCAGGCACGGATTAATTCTATTTCCATTATTTCTTATGGGGAAAATTAACTCGACCAACGGTAATTTCGACCAACAGCAAGCCCTCTGGAACGGATTAATGCCGTTTGTTGAGGGTCCACTGTATATATTATCATGTTCTTTCTCTCCTGCATTCCAGGGAGTACAAATCAAGAGACTTCAACCATTCCCAGCAATGTAAGTGCTTTATCTTACTTATATGTGCCTTGAAGTTCTCCGTATGTTCTCAAGGTTTGCAATTTTGCCTGCCTTGAAAGGGGCTGTTAATGTACAGTAATATTCCAGCCTAGAGAGAACAAGCATTTGAAGAGTCATCATAAACTTGGCATCTCTAGTTTTGAGGGTTCTCATTATCCATCCTATCATTTTCCTAGCAGATGTGGTAGATACATTGTTGTGATCTTTGACAATGAGATTCTCTGACTTATCACTCCCAGGTCCTTCACATTAGTTTTTTGCTCTGTTGTGTGGTTGGAATTTGCTTTATACTCTAATAGCAGAGTAACCGAAATGTCTTCATTGAACTTCATATTGTTTTCTGCAGCCATTTAAAGATTTGGTTGCTGTCCACTTGGAGACTTGCAGTATCTTCGCTGGATGACACTGTCATGCAAGTTCGGGTGTCATCTACTAAGGAGGACACGGTGCTGTGGCTTACATCTCTTGTCTGTATCAGATTTGAGGATGGGGAACAGGATAGGAGTGAGCACTGTTGTCTGTGTTAGATATGAGGAACAGGATGGGAGTGAGTTCTGTACCTTGTGGAACTGAACGTTTCACTATAACCGCTCTGACTTTATTTATTATTACTCTTTGTGTTCTGTTTGTTAGGAAGTTGTAGATCCATCTACCCATTTTTCCCATTATTCATTTATCGCGTATTTTGTAATAATATAATATCTTTATTTCTACAAGTGCATGTACAGGTTCAAGGCTTTTGCGAAGTCTGTATATACATATATACAACATCTGCATTTTGTTTTTCCTCCATGGTATCAAAGACCATGTCATAGTGGTCCAATAGTTGGGATAGGCAGGAGCGACCTGCTCTAAATCCATGCTGCCCTGGGTTGTGCAGTTAGTTTAACCCTTAAACTGTCCAAACGTAGATCTACGCTTGCACCCGTAGTGCTCCGAACGTAGATCTATGTTATTTTACATTGTTCTTATGGAGAAAATTAAGGTTGGAGCACTACGCGCACAAACGTAGATCTACGTTTGGGTTTATATGTTTATTATACATCCCATGCCCATCCTGTGGGCAGTAGTCAAAAGATTACAGAGGTACATAGGGTTGTGCAACTAATGGATATCTAAATGGGTGGCAGTCTTGCTTCTTAGAACCTTTTCAAAGATTTTTATGATGTGGGACGTTAGTACTATCAGTCTGTAATTCTTTGCAATTGCTTTACTGCTACTTGCGGAGTGGGGCAATGTCTGTTGTTTAAAGTGACTGAGATGAACCCTGTGTCCATGCTCCTCTCCATAGAAAACCTACGGCACGTAAAAGAGGCTTATTGCAGTTCTTTATGAACACAGAGTTCCACGAGTCTGTGCCGGGGGCAGTAAGTCTGATGATATTGTGGTACAGTGAATATGATGATGTTGTAGTACAGTAAGTCTGATGATATTGTAGTACAATAGTAAGTCTGATGATATTGTAGTACAATAGTAAGTCTGATGATATTGTAGTACAATAGTAAGTCTGATGATATTGTAGTACAATAGTAAGTCTGATGATATTGTAGTACAATAGTAAGTCTGATGATATTGTAGTACAATAGTAAGTCTGATGATATTGTAGTACAATAGTAAGTCTGATGATATTGTAGTACAATAGTAAGTCTGATGATATTGTAGTACAAAAGTAAGTCTGATGATATTGTAGTACAATAGTAAGTCTGATGATATTGTAGTACAATAGTAAGTCTGATGATATTGTAGTACAATAGTAAGTCTGATGATATTGCAGTACAATAGTAAGTCTGATGATATTGTAGTACAATAGTAAGTCTGATGATATTGTAGTACAATAGTAAGTACGATGATATTGTAGTACAATAGTAAGTCTAATGACATTGTAGTACAGTAAATCCGATTATATTGTGTACCAGTAAGTCTGATGATGTTGTAGTACACCAGTAAGTCTGATGATATTGTAGTAAGTATATGTAGCATGTGAGTAACAATTTATAACTTTGAGAATACCTTCATCACACACCATATAACAACAATATTATAACTTTCAGAATACCTGCATCACGCTCCATGTATGAGGCAGGTGAACCCTAAGTACAACCAGTGTTCTGAGATCTACCATGAGAAAACTGCAGGACTCAACCACATCAATGATGCCAAGACCAATCTCAGTGATGATGACAAGAACAAGAATGTCATCACCCTTTGTTGGTTAGTTCACTTTCACAACTTACCAGTTTTATTTAGGTTCCATTAATTATTTAAAATTTGTTACAATTACAGTAGAATTTAATCTGGGCTGACTTGGTAATATCATTGAGAAAGATCTGGCCCCTTTGTACTTAATGTACTATCACTGCCTCTATAATTGTCACTGCCACTATCATCACCCTAGTAGTTATAGCATGTCATCACTATAACCACCAGGGTCACTATAACCACCACTCTCACTATTATAAAACAAAAACAAGCAACTTTATAAAGTGGCATACTGTAAAGTATACAAATAAGGTACTCGACATGTATCAACTATTTTATAGAAAGTCCCTTGTTATGTAAAGCATTTTGGGTAGCCTTAAAACTAACTTATAATTACTAGACAGTCAGACACATCTTGCACACGAGAACAGAAATATTTGTACTATATTAATTTTTCAACACGTCGGCCGTCTCCCACCGAGGCAGGGTGACCCACCGAGGCAGGGTGACCCACCGAGGCAGGGTGACCCACCGAGGCAGGGTGACCCACCGAGGCAGGGTGACCCAAAAAAGAAAGAAAATCCCCAAAAAGAAAATACTTTCATCATCATTCAACACTCACCTCACTCACACATAATCACTGTTTTTGCAGAGGTGCTCAGAACACAACAGTTTAGTACCATATACATATAAAGATACACAACATATCCCTCCAAACTGCTAATATCCCAAACCCCTCCTTTAAAGTGCAGGCATTGTACTTCCCATTTCCAGGACTCGAGTCCGGCTATATAAAAATAACCGGTTTCCCTGAATCCCTTTACTAAATATTACCCTGCTCACACTCCAACAGATCGTCAGGTCCCAAATACCATTCGTCTCCATTCACTCCTATCGAACACGCTCATGCACGCCTGCTGGAAGTCCAAGCCCCTTGCCCACAAAACCTCCCTTACCCCTTCCTTCCAACCTTTTCGAGGACGACCCCTACCCCGCCTTCCTTCTCCTACAGATTTAAATGCTCTCCATGTCATTCTACTTTGATCCATTCTCTCTAAATGACCAAACCACCTCAACAACCCCTCTTCAGCTCTCTGACTAATACTTTTATCAACTCCACACCTTCTCCTAATTTCCAAACTCCGAATTTTCTGCATAATATTTACACCGCACATTGCCCTTAGACAGGACATCTCCACTGCCTCCAACCACCTCCTCGCTGCTGCATTCACAACCCAAGCTTCACACCCATATAAGAGTGTTGGTACTACTATACTTTCATACATTCCCTTCTTTGCCTCCATAGATAACATTTTTTGACTCCACATATACCTCAACGCACCACTCACCTTTTTTCCCTCATCAATTCTATGATTAACCTCATCCTTCATAAATCCATCCGCCGACATGTCAACTCCCAAGTATCTGAAAACATTCACTTATTCCATACTCCTCCTCCTCAATTTGATATCCAATTTTTCTTTATCTAAACCATTTGATACCCTCATCACCTTACTCTTTTCTGTGTTCACTTTCAACTTTCTACCTTTACAATATAAAAATATAAAAATCTAATTATAGATACATTAAGGATGAAGCTAGATTCCTGAATTGATACAAGGAAAAATGCCAGTCTATTAATAAACTAGAATTGAAAGATACATGATAATATACACTTGGAAAATCCTAGAGAGACTAGTCCCAAATCTGCACACCAAAATCACTCTTTGAAAGCAAAAAACTCGGCAGGAGATGCAACATCTCCCCAATGAAAATCAGGGGTGCCACGAGTATAGTACGAGAGAGCACAGTGTCAGGGGCCCAAGACTGTTCAACTGCCTCCCAGCATACAAAAGGTATTACTAATAGACCTCTTACTGTCTTCAAGAGGGAGCTGGACAGACACCTATGGTCAGTACCTGACCAGCCGGGTTGTGGTTTGTATATTGGTTTCCATGCAACCATCAGTATCATCTTGGTTGATCAAGCACTGATTTGCAGTGAGGCCTGGTCATGGACTGGGCTGCAGGGGTGTTGACCCCCTGAGCACCCTCCAGGTGTACTCCAGGAAGAATGGAAGAAAAACTGGGATAGTGTTGAATAACAAAAAAAAAAGGCACAATACCGTGACTTTGTCAATGGTCCAAGTCGGACCGAAACGTCGTCGTAAGCTTCTCTTTTATGTGCGGGTTATTTGTGTATAGTGTTGAATGAAAGACAGGGTTTTAGTATTAATTTGGCGTAATAAGGAAAGGAGGTATTTTTTTAACAGTAGCTTTGGAGTGGTTGGCTGACAGGAAGCCTCTGGAATCTTCAGGTAGAGAGTTCCAGACTTTGATCCTTTTATTCACATTGATTTTATACACAGGTTAATTTGGACATGTGGACTATAATAGAGATTTTCGTGACTGGTAATATGCATACGAGTTCTGTTGCAGCTATCAGGAAAGAGTTTTAGATCAGTATTTATATTAGAATTGATTGTCTTGTATGCGTAGTGTGCACAGTAGTACGAGTGAATTTTATGTACATGCATCAAGTAAGTTGAGACGGGGTGATAATTTATACAGCTGCTTTTTGTTGTGTTATTATTGGCTGTAGGTGATTTGTTATAGATGGGGTAGGGATAGTGAGTAGTATAGTGTAAGTAGTGCTATTTGAGGTACATAATAATGTATCTTACAGAGAATGCAAACTTATTTGAATACTCTTTTTATGTGCTGAATGCGGGAGTTGAATTTCAAGTTGCTGTCAAGAGACAGGCCTAATAATTTTGTTTCATTTTGTTTTGCAATGGGAGAACCATTACCCATAACATTTACGTAGTTGGACATTTGTAGCTCTGTTCCCAACCATCATGTAGAAGGTCTTTTCAGTGTTAAGAATGAGTTTGTTAGTAGTCATCCAGGTAGATAACTTGAGTTCCTCATTAATAGTGATAATGAGAGAATTCAGATTTAGGTGAGAGATGACAAAAGTTGTGTTGTCTGCAAACAGAACAGGTCAGAGTTGCTGAAGAAAAGCAGGGGCACCCCTGTGCCAATAGGTTGCATTGATGAGGTTATGCCCTTGGAGATGTATTTGTGTCTGTTGTAAAGGAAGGACTTTAGATATGTAAGTGCATGCCCTCTGATACCATAATGTTGTAGTCTGCTGTATCAAATGCTTTCCCCAATGGAAATAAGTCACTCTGTCTGACTTTTTTGGGTTATCCTAGGTTCTCTACACATATGCTGCTATGTATGATAATTCTATGTAACTGTATTTGTGTATACCTGAATAAACTTACTTAATGACTTACTTACTTAGTAAGGTCAATAAAAATGCTAGTGGATATGCATTGTTTTCAAGAGCTGAAAAATGAAGTCTAGCATTTTTATAATTGCATCATTTGTGCTTTTCTTTAGTCGGAAACCAAACTGGCAGAGGTTGAGTATGTTCAATGATGCTAGAATAGAGTATAATCAAATATTACCTGAAGTTTACCTGGAGAGGGTTTCGGGGGTCAATGGTCTCGCGGCCCGGCCTGAGACCAGGCCTCATGATGGATCAGGGTTTGATCAACCAGGTTGTTACTGCTGGCCACACTCAAGCTGATGTACGAACCACAGCCTGGTTGGTAAGGTACTGACTTCAGGTTCCTGTCCAGTGCCTTCTTGAAGACAGCCAGGGGTCTATTGGCAATACCCCTTATGTATGCTGGGAGGCAATTGAACAGTCTTGGGTCCCAGACACTTATTGTGTTGTCTCTTAGTGTACTCGTGGTGCCCCTGCTTTTCATCGGGGGAATGTTGCATATGGATTAATTTTTTGAAGATTTTGAATAACAGTGGCAGGTTAGATATAAGTCTATAGTTATTTATGTTGGTTGGGTCTCTTTCTTTGTGTAATATGGTAGGTTTCTAATGATTTGTTGAACAATATGACTCCCAACACCATTCACCGTGTACTTGTTGATTGGTTATCTCATCTTCATTCATGTGTCGGTAATAATAGTGGACACACTTGTGTCGGTAATAATAGTGAACACACTTGTAACTGTAATAATAGTGAACATGCTTGTGTCTGTAATAATAGTGGACACACTTGTAAATGTAATAATAGTGAACACACTTGTGTCGGTAATAATAGTGAACACACTTGTAACTGTAATAATAGTGAACATGCTTGTGTCTGTAATAATAGTGGACACACTTGTAAATGTAATAATAGTGAACACACTTGTGTCGGTAATAATAGTGAACACACTTGTAACTGTAATAATAGTGAACATGCTTGTGTCTGTAATAATAGTGGACACACTTGTAAATGTAATAATAGTGAACACACTTGTGTCGGTAATAATAGTGAACATGCTTGTGTCTGTAATAATAGTGAACATGCTTGTGTCTGTAATAATAGTGAACACACTTGTGTCGGTAATAATAGTGAACATGCTTGTGTCTGTAATAATAGTGAACACACTTGTGTCTGTAATAATAGTGAACACACTTGTGTCTGTAAAAATGGTGAACACACTTGTGTCTGTAATAATGGTGAACACACTTGTGTCTGTAATAATGGTGAACACACTTGTGTCTGTAATAATGGTGAACACACTTGTGTCTGTAATAATAGTGGACACGCTAAACAAGGTCAATAACAACCACCTTCATTAGTGCATTTCCTGGGTAGTAGGTTTGTAGACAGCAACCACCCAGGGAGGTACTACTGCCCTGTGGTAGTAGGTTTGTAGACAGCAACCACCCAGGGAGGTACTACTGCCCTGTGGTAGTAGGTTTGTAGACAGCAACCACCCAGGGAGGTACTACTGCCCTGTGGTAGTAGTTTTTTAGACAGCAACCACCCAGGGAGGTACTACTGCCCTGTGGTAGTAGGTTTGTAGACAGCAACCACCCAGGGAGGTACTACTGCCCTGTGGTAGTAGGTTTGTAGACAGCAACCACCCAGGGAGGTACTACCATCCTGTGGTAGTGGGTTTGTAGACAGCAACCACCCAGGGAGGTACTACTGCCCTGTGGTAGTAGGTTTGTAGACAGCAACCACCCAGGGAGGTACTACTGCCCTGTGGTAGTAGGTTTGTAGACAGCAACCACCCAGGGAGGTACTACTGCCCTGTGGTAGTAGGTTTGTAGACAGCAACCACCCAGGGAGGTACTACTGCCCTGTGGGGAGTAGTTTGTAGACAGCAACCAACCAGGGAGGTACTACTGCCCTGTGGTAGTAGGTTTGTAGACAGCAACCACCCAGGGAGGTACTACCGTCCTGTGGTAGTAGGTTTGTAGACAGCAACCACTCAGGGAGGCACTACTGCCTTGTGGTAGTAGGTTTGTAGACAGCAACCACCCAGGGAGGCACTACCATCCTTTGGTAGTAGGTTTGTAGTCAGCAACCACCCAGGGAGGTACTACCGTCCTGTGGTAGTTGGTTTGTAGACTGCAACCAACCAGGGAGGCCCTACTGCCCTGTGGTAGTAGGTTTGTAGACAGCAACCACCCAGGGAGGTACTACCACCCTGTGGTAGTAGGTTTGTAGACAGCAACCACCCAGGGAGGTACTACTGCCCTGTGGTAGTAGGTTTGTAGACAGCAACCACCCAGGGAGGTACTACTGTCCTGTGGTAGTAGGTTTGTAGACAGCAACCACCCAGAGAGGTGCTACTGCCCTGTGGTAGTAGGTTTGTAGACAGCAACCACCCAGGGAGGTACTACTGCCCTGTGGTAGTAGGTTTGTAGACAGCAACCACCCAGGGAGGTACTACTGCCCTGTGGTAGTGGGTTTGTAGACAGCAACCACCCAGGGAGGTACTACCGTCCTGTGGTAGTGGGCTTGTAGACAGCAACCACCCAGGGAGGTACTACTGCCCTGTGGTAGTAGGTTTGTAGACAGCAACCACCCAGGGAGGTACTACTGCCCTGTGGTAGTAGGTTTGTAGACAGCAACCGCCCAGGGAGGTACTACTGCCCTGTGGTAGTAGGTTTGTAGACAGCAACCACTCAGGGAGGCACTACTGCCTTGTGGTAGTAGGTTTGTAGACAGCAACCACCCAGGGAGGCACTACCATCCTGTGGTAGTAGGTTTGTAGTCAGCAACCACCCAGGGGGGTACTACCATCCTGTGGTAGTTGGTTTGTAGACTGCAACCAACCAGGGAGGCCCTACTGCCCTGTGGTAGTAGGTTTGTAGACAGCAACCACCCAGGGAGGTACTACCACCCTGTGGTATTTGGTTTGTAGACAGCAACCACCCAGGGAGGTACTACTGCCCTGTGGTAGTAGGTTTGTAGACAGCAACCACCCAGGGAGGTACTACTGTCCTGTGGTAGTAGGTTTGTAGACAGCAACCACCCAGAGAGGTGCTACTGCCCTATGGTAGTAGGTTTGTAGACAGCAACCACCCAGGGAGGTACTACTGCCCTGTGGTAGTAGGTTTGTAGACAGCAACCACCCAGGGAGGTACTACTGCCCTGTGGTAGTAGGTTTGTAGACAGCAACCACCCAGGGAGGTACTACCACCCTGTGGTAGTAGGGTTGTAGACAGCAACCACCCAGGGAGGCACTACCACCCTGTGGTTGTAGGTTTGTAGACAACAACCACCCAGGGAGGTACTACCACCCTGTGGTAGTAGGTTTGTAGACAGCAACCACCCAGGGAGGCACTACCATCCTGTGATAGTAGGTTTGTAGACAGCAACCACCCAGGGAAGTACTACCACCCTGTGGTAGTAGGTTTGTAGACAGCAACCACCCAGGGAGGCAGTAGGTTTGTAGACAGCAACCACCCAGGTAGGTACTACTGCCCTGTGGTAGTAGGTTTGTAGACAGCAACCACCCAGGGAGGCACTACCATCCTGTGGTAGTAGGTTTGTAGACAGGAACCACCCAGGGAGGCACTACCATCCTGTGGTAGTAGGTTTGTAGACAGCAACCACCCAGGGAGGTACTACCACCCTGTGGTAGTAGGTTTGTAGACAGCAACCACCCAGGGAGGCACTACTGCCCTGTGGTAGTAGGTTTGTAAACAGCAACCACCCAGGGAGGCACTACCATCCTGTGGTAGTAAGTTTGTAGACAGCAACCACCCAGGGAGGCACTACCATCCTGTGGCAGTAGGTTTGGAGACAGCAACCACCCAGGGAGGCACTACCATCTGTGGTAGTAGGTTTGTAGACAGCAACCACCCAGGGAGGTACTACCACCATGTGGTAGTAGGTTTGTAGACAGCAACCACCCAGGGAGGCATTGCCATCCTGTGGTAGTAGGTTTGTAGACAGCAACCACCCAGGGAGGTACTACCATCCTGTGGTAGTAGGTTTGTAAACAAACCACCCAGGGAGGTACTACCATCCTCTGGTAGTAGGTTTGTAGACAGCAACCACCCAGGGAGGTACTACCATCCTGTGGTAGTAGGTTTGTAGGCAGCAACCACCCAGGGAGGTACTACCATCCTGTGGTAGTAGGTTTGTAGACAGCAACCACCCAGGGAGGTACTACCATCCTGTGGTAGTAGGTTTGTAGACAGCAACAACCCAGGAAGGTACTACCATCCTGTGGTAATAGGTTTGTAGACAGCAACCACCCAGGGAGGTACTACCATCCTGTGGTAGTAGGTTTGTAGACAGCAACCACCCAGGGAGGTACTACCCTCCTGTGGCAGTAGGTTTGTAGACAGTAACCACCCAGGGAGGTACTCCCATCCTGTGTTAGTAGGTTTGTAGACAGCAACCACCCAGGGAGGTACTACCCTCCTGTGGTAGTAGGTTTGTAGACAGCAACCACCCAGGGAGGTACTACCCTCCTGTGGTTGTAGGTTTGTAGACAGCAACCACCCAGGGAGGTACTACTGCCCCGTGGTAGTAGGTTTGTAGACAGCAACCTCCCAGGGAGGTACTACCATCCTGCTAAGTGAGTGTGAAATGGAAGTCTGTAATTATTTTACACAATGGTAGGATTGCTGGTGTCTTTTTTTTTATGTCATAAACATGCATGCTAACAGGTACATCCTGCTACCTCTATTTATACTTGAGTCACACTACACGTGCATGTACGAGCACATATATACACACCAATCAGGCTTTTCTTCTATTTTCTTAATAGGTCTTGTTCATTATTTCCTCTTATCTCCATGGGGAATTGGAACAGAATTCTACTTTCGTAAGCAATGTGTGTTGTAAGAGGTGACTGAAATGCCGTTAGCAAGGAGCTAGTAACTTCTTCTCCTGTATAAATTAATAAATTTAAAAAAAAAAACTTGTTTTTCTTTTTAACCCTTAAACGGTCCAAACGTATATATACGTTCACGCGCGTAGCACCCCAAACGTATATATACGTTTTCTTTGTCATTCATTCAACATTGCCACAATAAGCCTGAGTCACCTATACATGAGAGAATGGGTGTGTGCACTCACTGTGTTCCATATTAAAATAATTGGGGATGCCTGGGTACCATATGCTCTTTTTTCCTTTTAAAAGAAAAGATTTCTTTTTTCCTCAAATTTGGGGCGCTACGCGAGTGAACGTATATATTCGTTTGGACCGTTTAAGGGTTAAGTCACCTTGCCTCGGTAGAATACGGCCAATATCATTGAGAAAAAAAAAATTAATGCATTTTTTCATTTTTTCCTGTAGTTCCAGACTTGTGTAGTAGTATGTAATTAGCCATTCTGTAAAGGTGATCCTGGTGATAATTATTGGTAATAATATATTTATTTCAGTTTTTTCCAGGAGTACTTTCATTGTTCTGATATATTTGTTTCAGTTCTTTCCAGGAGTACCTTCAGTGTTCTGATATATTTGTTTCAGTTCTTTCCAGGAGTACCTTCAGTGTTCTGAAAGAGTTGTCTTTGAAACTTGTGGTAATGAAACAGCATTGTTTACAAAGGAATTCCTGGACCGTATGGCTGGACCCATTGTCCAGGTGAGACCTTCCTTCACTATGTTATCTGCTGGGATTATGAATTAACTGTCAGTATTTTTATTATTTGCTGGTGCTATTATTATCTGATAGGGGTCTTAATTGTCTGCTTTGGTTATTAATTACAGTATCTGCTTTGGTTATCTGTTGGTGTTATATACCTGATTGGGCTATTAATTATCTCTAGAGGCTTAATTATGTCTAGAGGCTATTAATTATCTCTAGGGGCTTAATTATGTCTAGGGCAATTAATTATCTCTAGGGATGTAGTTGTGCATAGGGGCTATTAATTATCTGTTGAGGTTGTTAATTATTTGCTCCTTTGTTATTTAGCATTAGAATTTCTTGTCAGTGTGTGTGTGTGTGTAGTATACACACACATATATATATATATATATATATATATATATATATATATATATATATATACATACATACATACATACATACATACATACATACATACATACATACATACGTGTGTGTGTATGTACATTCATGTGCATTCATGCACAGGCATGAGCACGCACACACACTCAGACATATTGTAGTGGTTAGGTGATGAAAATAATGGTTAATATGTGTAAAGATAAGTTAAACAAGGCACATACATTCCCAGTGATTTAATGGAATCAAACCAAATAGTTTTATGAAAGAATTATGCAGGAGGAACACTCTTGCCTTATTATCACATAGCAAGAAATATGTTAAATTATAAGGATTATGAAATGGCTTTCTTTGCCATCATTAATACAGTGAAACAAATACTAATTCTAATTTACTTTCTAATTACCTCCAAAAGGACAGCAAGGTAAGACAGAAATCCAGCATATGTGTATATGCATGTATATATGTATATATCTTTATATATGCATGTATATGTGTATATATCAGTGCATGTATATATGCATGTATATAGTATTTATATATGCATGTATATAAGCATGTTAAAAATAGGAGAGAAGAGTTATTAAATGGAGAGTTGGAGGTATTGGGAAGATGGAGGGAATATTTTGAGAAATTGTTGAATGTTGATGAAGATAGGGAAGCTGTGATTTTGTGTATAGGGCAAGGAGGAACAACATCTTGTAGGAGTGAGGAAAAACCAGTTGTGAATGTGGGCGAAGTGCATGAGGCAGTGGGTAGAATGAAAGGGAAATAAAGCAGCTGGAATTGATGGGATAAAGATAGAAATGTTAAAAGTAGATTTGGATATAGTTTAGGAGTGGTTAATGCTTTTATTTAACCCTTAAACTGTCCAAACGTAGATGTACGTTCGCATGCGTAGCACTCCAACCTTGATTTTCCCCATTTGAAAGCGCGTAAAATAAAACGTCGGTCTACGTTCAGAGCCTGCCGCACGTCAACGTATATCTACGTTTGGACAGTTTAAGGGCTAATAAATATATTGAAGAGGGTAAGGTACCTAGGGATTGGCAGAGAGCATTCATAGTTCCTTTGTATAAAGGCAAAGGGGACAAAAGAAAGTGTAAAAATTATAAGGGAATAAGTCTGTTGAGCATACCTGAGAAAGTGTTTGGTAGATTTATTATTGAAAGAATTAAGAGTAAGATGGAGAGCAAGATACCAGATGAACAAGGAGGCTTTAGGAAGGTTAGGGGTTGTGTAGACAAAGTGTTTACAGTGAAACATATAGGTGAACATTATTTAGATAAGGGTAAAGTGAGTTTTGTGGCATTTATGGATTTGGAAAATGTGTATGGTAGGGTGGATAAGGGGGCAGTGTGGCAAATGTTGCAAATGTATGGAATAGAAGGTACGTTACTGAAAGCAGTGAAGAGTTTTTACGAGGACAGTGAGGCTCAGGTTAGAGTATGTAGGAGAGGGAGATTATTTCCCAGTAAAAGTAGGCCTTAGACAGAGATGTGTAATGTCACCATGGCTGTTCAGTATATTTATAGATAGGGGTTTTAAGAGAAGTGAATGCTCGGGTGTTAGCAAGAGGTGTGGATTTAAAAGATAAAGAATCTAACACAAAGTGGGAGTTGTCACAGTTGCTCTTTGCTGATGACGCTGTGCTTTTGGGAGATTCTGAAGAGAAGTTGCACAGGTTGGTGGATGAGTTTGGTAGGGTATGTAAAAGAAGGAAATAAAAGTAAATATAGGAAAGAGTAAGGTGATGAGGATGGAAAAAAATTTAGGTAATGAAAGGTTGGATATCAGATTAGAGGGAGAGAGTATGGAGGAGGTGAATGTATTCAGATATTTTGGAGTGGATGTGTCAGCAGATGGGTCTATGAAAGATGAGGCAAATCATAGAATTGATGAGGGGAAAAAGGTGAGTGGTGCACTGAGGAGTCTATCGAGACAAAGAACATTATCCATGGAAGCAAAGAGGGGAATGTACGAGAGTATAGTTATACCAATGCTCTTAGAGTACTCGTCACAGCATTATGCCGGGTGAGCACCCTGGCATAATGCTGCGACAAAAATCAAAGGCCTACCATACAGGGGGGGCCTTTTTTCATTAGTGCATTCTGCTGGGTAGCAGCCATAAGCATGACGTCTCGGCCTGCCGCCACACTTCACAATGAGTTCTCATTGCTCATGTGGCTGCTGTGGTGAGAGGAAGTGTTGCACTGTGGGTGTCTGTAGGAAACAATCAGGCTGCAGTACTAGGGTTGAAAACAGCAGATATTACCAGGATACCTCAGGGATATTTTTAAGACAGTGTTCAAAATAAAGTTGCTAGTAAAGGCAAAGCAATTGATCAACAAAGAGAGATAGTAGAGGGCAACGAGTGACTAGCTCCCTTAAGGTTTACTATACAAATAGGAGTCTTAGAAATAAGATAGATGAGCTAAGATTACTTGCAAGTGCAGGTAATATAGATATTGCTATAACAGAGACCTGGTTCAACTTGGAAGATAGAGAAATGCCTTCTGAATGCAACATACAGGGTTATAAACTACAGTGGACCCTCGACCAACGATGGCATCTACTAACGATAAAATTGGGCAACGATGCGTTTTCCATAAAAATATTGGCTCGACCAACGATGAAAAACTCGGGTAAGGACATTCGTCCCGAAAGCATCTGCCTGTCCATCCAGGTGAGTGCGCCTCAGCTACCCTGCCTTCAGCTAGTGTGCCATTGTTTACAAGTCACAGAGGTCAGTTCCACGTGTACCTGCGATACATTTTGTATTATTCCAGTGTTTTTAGTGCTTGTAACTGCTATCCATGGGGAAGTGGAATAAGAATCTTTCCTCCATAAGCCATGCATGTTATAAAAGTCAACTAAAATGCCGGGAACAATGGGCTAGTAACCCCTTTTCCTGTAATAATTACTAAAAAGAATAAGAAGAAAATTGTCAAAGTGGGAAGTCTGAATGTGCGTGGATGTTGTGCAAATGATAAGAAAGAGATGATTGTGGATGTTATGAATGAGAAGAAGCTGGATGTCCTGGCTTTAAGTGAAACAAAGATGAAGGGGGTAGGATAGTTTCAGTGGAGAGGAATAAATGGGATTAGGTCAGGGATTTTAAATAGAGTTAGAGCTAAAGACAGAGTAGCAATAATGTTGAAGGATAAGTTATGGCAGGAAAAGAGGGACTACAAATGTATTAATCCAAGGATTATGTGGAGTAAAATAAAGGTTGGATGTGAAAAGTGGGTTATAGTAAGCGTGTATGCACCTGGAGAAGAGAGAAGTGTAGAGGAGAGAGATTTTGGGAAATGTTGAGTGAATGCTTGGGGAGTTTTGAAGCAAGTGTGAGAGTAATGGTGGTTGGGGATTTCAATGCTAAAGTGGGCAAAAATGTTGTGGAGGGAGTAGTAGGTAAATTTGGGGTGCCAGGAGTAAATGAAAATGGGGAGCCTTTAATTGAGCTATGTGTAGAAAGAGGTTTAGTAATAAGTAATACATATTTTATGAAGAAGAGGATAAATAAATATACAAGGTATGATATAGCACGTAATGAAAGTAGTTAGATTATGTATAGGTGGATAAAAGGTTGATGGGTAGGCTCCAGGATCTACACATTTATAGATGGGCAACTGACATATCGTATCATTATTTAGTTGTAGCTACAGTAAGAGGTAGATGGGAAAAGAGGAAAATGGCAACAACAAGTAAGAGGGAGGTGAGAGTGTATAAACTAAGGGAGGAGGAAGTTCGGGTGAGATATAAGCAACTATTGGCAGAAAGGTGGACTGGTGCAAATATGAGCAGTGGAGGGGTTGAAGAGGGTTGGAATAGTTTTAAAAATGCAGTATTAGAATGTGGGGCAGAAGTTTGTGGTTATAGGAGGGTGGGTGCAGGAGGAAAGAGGAGTGATTGGTGGAATGATGAAGTAAAGGTTGTGATAAAAGAGAAAAAGTTAGCTTATGAGAGGTTTTTACAAAGCAGAAGTGTTATAAGAAGAGTAGAGTATATGGAGAGTAAAAGAAAGGTGAAGAGAGTGGTGAGAGAGTGCAAAAGGAGATCAGATGATAGAGTGGGAGAGGCACTGTCAAGAAATTTTAATGAAAATAAGAAAAAATTTTGGAGTGAGTTAAACAAGTTAAGAAAGCCTAGGGAACAAATGGATTTGTCAGTTAAAAACAGAGTAGGGGAGTTAGTAGATGGGGAGAGGGAGGTTTTGGGTACATGGCGAGAATATTTTGAGGAACTTTTAAATGTCGACGAAGAAAGGGAGGCGGTAATTTTATGCACTGGACAGGGAGGTATACCATCTTTTAGGAGTGAAGAAGAACAGGATGTAGGTGTGGGGGAGGTGCATGAGGCATTACGTAGAATGAAAGGGGGTAAAGCAGCTGGAACTGACAGGATCATGACAGAAATGTTAAAAGCAGGGGGATATAGTGTTGGAGTGGTTGGTATTTTTGTTTAATAAATGTATGAAAGAGGGGAAGGTACCTAGAGATTGGCGGAGAGCATGTATAGTCCCTTTATATAAAGGTGAGGGGGACAAAAGAGATTGTAAAAATCATAGAGGAATAAGTTTACTGAGTATACCAGGAAAAGTGTATGGTAGGGTT